TAGAAATCTTGTCCTGTTGCCTCTGCCAAAGTCGAATTGTAGGAGAATGGGTCAAGGCAGCTTAGGACTAAATCCTTGACACCCATTGCTGGCAGAGTTTGTTGGGTCAGCCCTCTCTTTGGAGCATCTGTGGGTCTCCACAAATGGATTTCTGCTAGTGTGTCTTTATGTAGAGAAGGGGAGACTCAAAGCCTTGAAACGCTGCTGCAGAACCCAGTTCCATGGGTTTGCAGAGGAAGAAACAGCCTGAGAGCTTCCAGTGGGATTGTTTTCTCATTTCTGAGTCAGTGATGAGCTAAAAACTCCTCTTCTTTATACAGCAGTCCTATCTATGTGTGAATTCTCCTGATAATTAGTTTTGATGATTTTTTGTTTAGTGCACTAATTCCCCTTTCCCAGCCTGCCTGAGATTAGTAATCATGATATCAATAATCAACAGTTACTCTGTATTGGGTTATTACCATGGTTCGTTTAATCTTCACAAGAATCCTATAAGGTAGTCACTATTATTATCCCCATTTCCCAGATAGAGAAACTAAGACTTGGAGGAATAGGTAATTTGCACAAAGCCGTACAGTTGCATACCATGACACTCCAGGCTTTAGCAATGTACAAAGCCACCTTTTCCTTTAATCCCCAAATCACAGAAGTCTGAGCTCCTGTCTCTTGCCAGCTCTGTCTGAATTCCCTGAGGAATAGTGACTAGGGTGTTCACCAAATGCCTCTTGTGTTCTTCCCACCTCAGGGCATCATCTGGTTCTGGAATGCTACTTGTACTTCTCCCTGCTGCCTTTGTAGGCTTAAGATGTGCTTCCCTCTAGGTGCTCCTGCTCTCCTTGTGCCATCTCTTCCCCAGTGTGCGAATGGCAACCTCCTGCTCTTCCTCTGCTGAAATGAGACTGGGATGTAGAGTTTAACACAAGCTGGCTGAAGAGTAGGCTATAGCAGGCAGGGCTACCACATGAAGGATTTGCACTGAGTACTGTGGGTGGCTGCCCTCAGAGTCCACAGGCCCAGGCCCCTTCCCAGGACCGCTACTGCCTTCCTCTTTTCCCAGATTCTGGCCTGTCTAGCTGGAATAGAGGCTGACCTCCTTGTCTTGTCCCAGGCTGCTATTTATCACTAGGTCCACCCCTAAGGAAGTGTTCTTGAATGTGACAGCCAAGGCAAGATCCAATTGAGTCATATCCCAAGGCCTACAGACAGGAGGCAGTTTTTGCTCACTTAATTCTAAAACTCGTCTTCCAAGTTTTTATTTTCTGGTCTTATGATTTACCCTCTATAAGCATGATTGACAATGGAAAAGCAACTTCCTTCAAGAAAATCCCAGCCTCACCCATGGATATACAGTCTTGCCTTTTGGCCCTTAAAAGATACTGAACCCAAAGTTACAAATCAAGACATTTCCCAAAGTCTAGTTTATTTAGTCTTGAAAAACACCATGTGTGACCTATCAACAGTACATGCCAATTCAAAACCATTTCTTTTCCATCTTTCCTCCAACCTGCACAGGCTTTCTGTCATCTTCAGGGTCCCCTCCCAGATCTGTGACCAAATGCTTGAAGAGTAACATAGAAACACCTCCTGAGAACAAGCAATATTATACCAAGTAAGACAGCCTAATCCTGTAGTTGTGAAAGAGGCATTTCTTTAAAGGAAGTAAATCTATTTGCAGAGGTGCAACTCTATCCTCCCCTTCCCACCTCCACCACTCTCCTTAAAGATAACCTATTAACATTGTTATGCAAAGAATCTTAACTCTTTGGAAATCCATTGCTTTTGCTTTGCTTAGTAAGAAGGGCCATTCCCAAGAATGAATCCAAGAAGCTACCTCCAGCAACAAAGGACATCACTTGAACCTTTGAAATCACAGTTCTGTTTCAGCTTCAGTCCTCCTCATCAGAACTAGATAAACCCTAGGGCCAGTTTTTTGTTTGGAGTATCAAGCTTAGGATGCCTTGACCTTCTCTTCTATCAATAGCCTCCGCAAGGAGGAAGCTTCCAAAACAGGTGGTTCAAGAGCACACATTCTATCTGGTTTTCCAGCAAAGAGAATAAAACCCCAAGAAGTTGAGTGGCTTGTCCAATGTCCCATAGCTAATACCTCGGGGAGTCATTATTTGAACCCAATCAGTCTGGCTCCAGCCCTTATAAATGTTTCCCAAGTGGAGAATAGGAGCCTACCTAGGAAGGAGAACAACTGCAGATCCATTCTCTCTTTACAGCAGACCGTGGGTACTATGGCATTCTTCTGGTGCAAATTGAGAAGTCAATATTCCTCCATGGTGTATATAGCCAACATTCAGTGTTTAGCAAAGAGACACTGAAACCTCCTGATCAGCCTCAACCTGCAAAATCTCTCCCCCGTCTCCATGCTAACCCTGGAGGAGAAAGCAGCTCTGTGATGTGAGCTTCCTTTCCCCACTGAGTGTGGTCCCTTTGGTCCTGTTCTTGACATTGGTATTTCTGATGGTGCTGGCTCATCTCCCAGACCTGGCATCTGCTACAGATGCTCACTTCCCACAGCTCCGTGGGCCCCCAATCACGGCAGGCCCCTCACCTGTGGTTCCATATCAACAAAGTCTCTGACTGGAGGCTAGAGGAGTAAGTTGGGGGAAGAGTTTGATCAGAGGGAAGAAGAGATGGAACTAAATCCCAAATTAGTGGAAGTTGCCATCTTAACTCATTTCTCTCTATTTCTGTTTTTCAGCAGAGTCCCTTCTTGTGTGCATGGGACTCTCCAAAAGTTCTCCTTCCCTCTCAGCTTGCCAAATATCCTGGCTATTTGTTTTGGATGCAGAGGTGGAGTCTGACAGTTCTTCCAGGTTTTCTTAATCCAGGCCCATAAGTCCTGTGTTTAGTGGACACTCCTTTGCATCTGTAGTATTTGGTTGACTAAGTATATACGCTCCTTTATTTAAATTCTTTTACACAAGAAGTAGCTTTAAATGATTTTAGCACTTGGATGAATTAAGGCTCAGAGCACCAAATATCATTGCGAATGTGATTACTGAATCATTGTTGATAATGTTTGCGAGGTCATAGAGAGCTAGAGATGGGCATGAAACAGAAGACCCACAAATATTGAATATCATTCATGTAGGCAAGATGGAGGGTATGTGAAAATTGCAAACCAATGAATGTGACATCTCTTACCCACAAGACACCAGAACAGACTTATAAATAGACAGTCCTGCACACTGAAGCACCATGCATAAACACGGATTCTCAAGGGAATAGTTCACATCAAATGGCTAAGTCTGTTTCTACTTGGTTATTTGGCTTATGGACCAGGGAGCAGTATGGACATGACTCCTCTTGGCTTGTGAAGCATCTGAAGAAACTTCTCTTGAAATCTTAGTAGATAAGAATGGAGCAATATGAATTGGCCACTAGTAAATTAGGCGAGTTTTTACCTGGCTGGACAACTACACCTAAATGATGTTGGTAAAGTATTTTTAAATCAGCAACTCATACAAAAGTATTTATGACATGCTCAACAGATTTACAAGTGAGGCCCAACTGCAAGGGGTAGCTAACAATTTGGTTGACATAAACAGAGATCCAAAGTCTTTTGACATACTGAAACTTGGGTTAAAACTAACAATAACAAAGTGAATGCAGATAGTTTGAAGGTTTTCATTGAGGTTTTAAAATAAAGCAATAATATAAGCACAGGAAGGGTAGATAGACATGAATTAGCATAAATTAGCATGAATTGCATTAGATGGGGATGCTTTTTGCTGCAAGTAACAAAAATACCTGATTTGAGATGGTTATAAGGCATTTATCATCTCCTATAACAAGGAGACAGAGAAAAGCAGCTGCAGGTGTGAAAGCTTTATTTCTCAGAGATACTCTGGGCTAGTGGTTCTCAACCAGGGCAGTTTTGGAGACGTTTTTGGTGGTTGTGACTGAGGAGGTGGAGAGTGTGCTACTCGCACTGAGTGGGTAGAAAGAGGCTAGAGGTGCTGCTCAGCATCCTACAATGTACAGGATAACCCCTGGAGCAAGGAATTATCTGGCCCCAAAGGTCAGTAGTTCAAGACTGAGAAACCCTGATTTAGAGTAATCCAAATCTACCCTTGGAGCCCTAAGGGGTTGCCATCCCCAAGGTCACATGGGGGAGGGGTGGATATCTGAGCAAAATTGGGGTTTGTTAGGAAGGAAGAAGTGGAGAGATGGGTATTGAAGAGTCTACCATAAAGATAGTACATTTGTATTAAAAATATTGCTTTAGTTGTTTATGAGCTAGGGTCACTGTTAGCTTATAGCTGGTCTTTGTGTGAATTAGAAAAGGCACCCCCTTCCTCAGAATCTTTACTGCCATCTGCTGGAAAATCATGAAAGAAATACATAATCTACAATATGTTGTAAATAGAGCCCCCTAGAGTTGTGCCACACATAACCTCACAATAGTTTATAGCACCTCTTCTGTGAGTCTAATATGACCCAGCTATGTAAAATGGCTGTCAGAGGAGTAGCTCAGGACTTCACAAATAGGAACTGTATGTCCCAAGTAAGGAAAGTCAAAATTTCACTATATTCTTCATTCATCAAACCACAGCTGGAATTCCTGGGTAAATTCTTGGTTCCACAGTTTAAGATTTAAAAAGTGACCAAAGGAAGTAGACTTGAGGAGGAAAAGTAAGGAAGTTATAATAATATAATAATAATAATGATACGGAACTGGAGATGTAAAGTCTGAAGAAGAAAACACAAGAAGTGAACTGGAGAGTTTCCTCCAAGTATCTGAAGAATGTTAATGAAGAGGGATTGAAGTGAATCTGTGTTACTCCAAAGGGCAAAACTGAATCCAATGAGTGGAACCATAGACTCATGAGAGATCTCACGGCTAGTAGTGACCTTGGTAGTTAATTAATCAAACCCATTAAGCAAGCATTCCTCCTACAGGACTTCCCCCCAGCTATCCTGCCAGCATACCTCAGTGAAGGGGCAACCCCATCCACCTTTAGGTGACCTAAAGTGTCTTACATTACCTTGAACTCTCTGTCCTGTGACTCCCATCCGTCACCTTCTGTCTCCTTAGCTGCTCTCTTTTGACAAGTAGTTTTCAGAGTCAGATTTGCTCTGAAGGAAGGAAGTTTCACAGCCAGGGTTTCCACCTGAAGACTCAAATAGAAGCTGGATGACTATCGGTCAGGGATTAGATCCCTCATCTATAAAATAAAAGAGTTAAACCTAGAAGACCTCCAAGTTCTTTCCTACTACCCAAGTGGAGTGACCTCTGGGCTACAAAATTAGGAGTTTGATGTTTCTGCCAGGTTTTTCCTCTCAACTCCTCACCCTCCTAGTACATATTTGACAATTTGGTGCTTGATTTTACCATAATTTATTTAATCAGGCCCAACTCACGAACCTTTAGGTTATTTCCAGTTTTTCTTTATTACAAACCATACTACAGTAAACATTCTTTATATATCACTTTGGGGCACTTATGTAAATATTTTTGTAGAGTTCCCAGAAATGGAATTGCTGAGTAAAAGGGTTAGACATTGCAATCTTAATCCTCCTTAATGATTTGCATCAATGTACACTTGCACCCACACCAATACCGGACAATTGCACTCAATTATTTCTGTCAAATTGATAAATTTGTATTTTAATTTGAACTTCTTTGATTATTAGTGAATTTGAACATTTATTTCTATGAATTGCTCTTCATAATCTTTGCTTATTTTTCTATGAGTTATCAATATTTTTTAAAAGTTTTTTATAACCTGTGGATGTTAATGATTTGTTCAAGTATATGTATATCACAAACATTATTTTGTTTTGCCATTTTTCAGATCTACTAGGTCTTCTGCTGGACAGAGTTATTAATAACATCTAAGGATGTTTTATGTTATAACTTACATAATAGGTTTTAAGTTATGCTTTGAAAGGTATTTCAAATGGAAAGATTATGCAAATATTCTCTAATGCTTTTATGGTATATTTACTTAATTACTCTGAATTTTTTTAAGGTGGTGTCAAGTAATTATAGAGACAATTTTTTTTCAAATGGATACCCAAATATTCTGACCCCATTTATTTAAAAAAATACCTTTTCCCTATTAATAAAATTGTCACTTTTTTACAAACTTAGTTCCCTTAGGTATGTACATGCATCTGTTTTTACACTGTCAATTCTCTTCCATTAATCAACTTTTCTTTTTCTGTACTTCTATTATACAATTCCCATTCTCATTACTGTGGCTTTATAGTACTTTTTGATAGCTTGTAGAATAAATTTTCTCTTAATATTCTTTTTGTACAAAATTAGAATAGATTTCTACATGTTAAAATGTTAAAATCCCATTGGGCTTTTTATTGAAATTAAATTAACAGAGCAATTTGGGAGCAATTGACATTTTTATGCAATTAAATGTACCCATCCAAGGTAGATTTAATTCCTAATTCAAATATTCTTCTATATCCATGAAGAAAATTATATAATTTTTATATAAGTCTTATACATTTCTTTTTAAATTTGTTACTAGCTATTTAGTAGTTAAGCATGTTCTTTGAATTAATTTATTAAAAGTTTTCTTTTAAAACATGTTATTGTTGGTATGTAGGAAACTTATTGATTTTTGTTTTTTTTATGTAAATGTATTTGACTGCCTCACAGAACTCACTTATTGTTTACATACTTGCTGGTTGATTCTCTTGGATATTTCAGTTACATTACCCACAATAATGACAATCTTTCCCTCTGTATTTGCTATTGGTGATTCTTTACTTGGTTTCCTTATTGTTTTGGCTAGAATCTTCAGAACAATGATAAATAATCTCAGTGATGGTGAGCATCTTTTTCTTGTTCTTGATTTTAGTGGTTTTTCTAGTGTTTTACCATTAAGGATGATGGTTCAGTGATTTTATAATAATTTTATCAAGTTAATAAACTCTTCTTATTCTCATGGCTTACTGAGAATTTTTGTCAAGGACAGAATTTTAATTTTGCTAAATAACATTTTGGCATCTATTGAGATGATCATAATTTTTTTCTTTAATCATTAATATAAATTAATGTATGCCTAACACTGAATCAGTCTTGAACTTCTGAAATGCTTAGTCATGGTATTTTTTATCCTTTAATATGTTGCTACATTGAAATTTTCAATATTTTTTTACGATTTTTACACTCCCACAACTTGGTGTATATTTTGGTACTATCTTTGTCAGATTTTGGTATCAGGGCTTAAATGAGTCTCATAAATGTTCAGAAATGACTTTATCTTCAAATATAGATAAGAAATATTTGCCTTTTGGAGATACGATAGAACTTACTTATAAAACCATCTGACCTGAGGTCTTTTGGGTGTTAAATATTTTATTATCTTTGCACTTTCTTCTGTGGTTTACTGATCTTTTAGGTCTTCTCTGGAGCCCCTTTTGCTATTTACATTAGTCATGAAAAGTACTCATTTCATCTCAAATTTCAAATTTACTGGCAAATCTATACATGATACTAAACTTTTAATGTAAGTAGTTATACCTATTTTCTTATTAATAAAATTATGTATTTATATTTTTTACTCTTCTTTTTGCTAGTCGTGACAGAAGTTTGTCTGTTTTAAAAAATCTTTTCAAAGAAACACCGCAAGTATAGGAATCATACCTATTTTGTCCATCTCAGCATCTTCAGTGGCTTTGGGCAGTACTTGGACATTTGTTAGGCACACAATAAATACTGACAGGGTAAACCAATAGAACATTTTCTGTATTAATTTCCTTCCTTTCCTTCCTTCCTTCCTTCCTTCCTTCCTTCCTTCCTTCCTTCCTTCCTTCCTTCCTTCCACTTCAGTTTCTTCCTTCTACTTTCTTTGGATGTTTTGTTGTTTCTTTTCTAGTTTCTGGAATAAAACTCTCTGCCTATTCTTTTCAAACTTTTATTTATAATAAAATAATTAAAGCAATGAATTCCACTCTTAGTATAGCTTTGACTTCACCCCATAAGCCCTGATATATCCTATTTTCTTTATTATTAATTTTTAAGTAGAAAATAATTTTTAAAAATTATTCTCAATGGTTTTATTTTTAGATAACTCCTTATTATTCCCAGTTTTATTGCACTGTGATAGGCGTTGGAAATTTATTGAGAATTTATTTATATACTTGTACATGGTCAATTTTTGTAATAATTCCCAAGTATTTGAATTTTTTTCAATATATTAGGTATGAAGTTCTACTGTATACATTAAATAAAACTTAATAATTGTGTTTTCTAAATCCTTTTGAGTGCCTGTCCTATTCTGAGAGTGGTATGCTAAAATCCTCCCACTATTACTGTGGTTTCATTCCTGCATTCTTAGAAATTTATGTCTTTCTATACATACTTTTCAATACAAAAAAGTTTCATAAATATTGCATATTTTAGCTGGTTACAACTTTATAAATACAAATATTAGTTTTTCCCATCTTTTTTTGCTTTGAATTTTACTTATTCTGATATCAGTATTGCTATCCCTGCTTAACATTTTCCCCTAATTCTCCAGCCCCTATCTGTCTCATTCACACACATTTCTTAATGTATCTTTGTTCTTATTATTTTCCACCTTTTGCATCAGTTTGGTTTCAGTGTTTCTCTTATAGATAGCGCAATAGTGGATTTGGCTTTTACTGCCAGTCTGAGATTCTTTTTCTTCAAATAGAGAATTTTACTTGTTTATATTTATTGTTGTCATTTTTATGTTTGATTTCATCCTTGGTATTTTATCTTTCCTAAGTTTTACTGGATAAATTTTTTTGTTCCTTTTATTCTCAAGTAGTCTCAAAATCCTACATTCTATTTCTATCCTCCTATTGATTATCCCTAAATTTTAGCAAATAAATCTGAACAAAGTATGTACATCAATAAATATCGCAAAAAGCAAGAAGAATATTTTAATTTGCTTTTTAGATTGTCTTCTCCCATGTTTCCCTACCTCCCAGATTTTTACAATTATGTTTTTCTTCTTTGTTGTAATCCTTCTATAATATTTGCATTAAATTTCAAAATCCCATAGCTAACATTTATTTGGATTAAACTGTTTCTTTCCTTTATCTGAATTTATTTTTTTCTGATTAATTTTTTGGTTTGTGTCTCTACAACCCCTTCACCATCCACCCCTACCACACAGTTCAGAAAAGGTATACAGGTATCGTTGATTTCTATGTTCTAGAAATGTTCGCCTTTGTCTCTCACATATGAACATCAGTTGGGCAGGTGTACATTTCTAGGCTATCATCATTTTCCCCTAGAAAGGTAGGTGAGTGATGGCCATCAGGCTCCATGGATGGGCTCACCTGGGGTGGAGACTGAGGTGGAGCACACTGATGGGGGACTTCCTTTCAGGGTGGGTGGACTGAGAACACAGTTCCCCTTAAAAGGCTAATAGCTGTAGGCCTGGTGGTCATATACTCCACTGTGGAGCAGTCTGCTCCTAGCAGTATCCAGGAGTGGGGGAAAAGCTGGAAAGCACTTTGGCCAACAGCTGGGACGAGGGTCTCTGAAAGACCATCTGGTTGTTTCCTGATGATGGCTTCCTGGTCTCTTACTCAGAGATCTTAGGGCCGTGTGTGTCTGGGGCAAAGTCATTGATGTCAACAGGACAATGTCAACAGCAAGAAGGAAAGAGTTGTTGTCGTGGGTGCTGAGGCCTTAAGGGATTCCACCACCCTTGGGATTCCTTTCCATTCTCCCCATCTGTGGCACTGCTCAGAGTTAGCTGCCCCACCCCACTTCATTCTTCAGTCCACCCAGAGACTTGGAAAGGAACACACAAAATGAACCTGTCACTCTCACTGTGGGGATGTGTGACCCACTTTCCTATTCATGTTTTTTCAATTTACCAACTGGGACCGTCCTACCTTACACCCTCCCTAGTTGTCCCTGTCGCTCCAAGTGTTGAGTCCTTTGAGATTTGGTAGGGAAGGCTCCCATCCTCACTTTCAAGGTTACCTTTTTCACCTTATTGCATGTTCATCTGTGTGACAGCTCTTCTTGCAGTCTGACTCTGCTGCCTCGTTTCCTCAGGAATTTCCACCAATGCCTTCTCTTTGCACACAGCCTCCCCTGTTTGTCAGTGCTGCTGTGGACTTTTGCAAAAAGAACTTTGTTCTTTTTGGTCATTTTAGTGGATCTTTGGGAGGCAGAAGAGACCCAGCCTACCTTGAATCTGGACATCCTGGAACTGCACGGGAAGGTCCGGAAGGACAGCAGCAGTCAGAGGGAGCTGGACAGTGGGCACTGGGCGCAGGAGATCAGGATGTGCAGAGGGGAGCAGTGTGAAAGCATGTGGCCTGTCGGGGGAGACAGGGACATCTGCACCCTGGGCGTCATGTGCAGGCAGAATGGAGTGTGGCCTGGGTCAGGGTGGGGAGGCCCTGGCGGGCAGGGCCCGATTGTGAAGAGCCAGCATGCAGTGTGGAAGAGTCTGAACTTTGTTCTGTAGACTCTGGGAGTTGTAGAGATGGAAATGTGGTAACTGGGTTTTGTGCTTTAGAAACATCATTGTGCCAACAAGGTCGGGGAAGGTTCATGGGTGCTGGGAAAGCAGAGGTGGGAGAAAAAGACCACTGCACCGGAGGAAGCAGGAGCTGCTGAGCCCCAGAACTTGGGCAATGGCTGGGAGGCTGAAAGGAGGAGATGGATCCCAGAGATAATAGGGAATTAGAGTCACTTAAACCTGAGAACCTGCTGGATATAGAGGTAAGGCAGAAGGAAGAGTCAGGGATGACTCAGGTTTCTGGTTTGGGCAACTCACAGGATTATGTCGCTATTTTTCAAGATAGAGAAAACAGAAGGCGAAGCAGGTTTGGGGGAAGAAAATGAGTTCAGTCTTTAACATATTGCTTTCAAGTTGCCTGCAAAAATGACAAAGTGTTGCTCTCAGTAGCAAAAATGACAAAGTGTTGACGTCAGTAGGTTGGGCCACCAGTTGGGTCTGGGGCTCAAGAAAGAAGATGCATCTGGGAGTCATCAACGTGTGTGGTAGTCAATGCCAACATGGATGACATTGTCCCGGGAGCACACAGATTGACAAGAAACGGCTTCATGGGTGTGTGACCACACAGAGCCCGTGCTCAGAATGGCCCATGCTTGGTTTAATGCTCTGCTTCCATTTCTTCATAATTTTTGTATTAGGGGCCCACATTTTCCTTTTGCACTGGGCCTTGCAAATTATGTAGCAGTTTCTGAGAGTGAGAAGGACAAAGACAAATCCTGAAGCACCAAGCTCAAAGGTATAGGCAGTGCAAGAGAGGCCCGGGAAGGCTACATGGAGCCTGATTCCAGGTAGGAGGAGCTGCTGGAGAGGTGGGGCATGGGAGTGACAGAGGTGAGTGTGTGAAAAGGACAGGGACATGCAGGCAACAAGTGTAGACAAAACAGACTTCTACTTAGGTGATACAGTATGGAGAAAGATCCAGATGCTGACCACTTCTTACCTACTCTACTGCCACTATTATAGTTCAAGCTCTCCCTGGCTCTTGTCTGGACCACTGCAGCATCCTCCTAACTCCTCCCCAGCGTCACCCTTGCCTGCTAATAGTCACCGTGCTTGTGCTGAAACTTAATTCAGATCACGTCACGTCTCTGGCCAAACCCATCAAAGGTTTCTCGTTACAGAAAAACGTCAAGTCTTTTCTGTGGCCTTCAAGGCCCTACTAGGTCCAGTCCCTGCTCCCTGTCACCCACCACTCTCCCCATCACTCGTTCAGCTCCAGCCTCACTGCCCCCTTGCTGTCCCCCTATATTCTCAGCTCGCCCGGGAGCCAGGCCTGGAATGCTCTCCCCTCATTGTCTCCTGACTTACTCCCTCTCTTCCTTGGGCTCTGATCAAATATCCCCTCTCAGCAAGCTGTCTGTGGCTGTTCCTCCTGACTCTGCTTCGTTCCTCCCAGCCCCGAGCACCACCTGACTTCCTGTGTAGTCGTTGGTTTGCTTTTCGCCTTCCCGTCCCTCAGAGAGTAGGTGCTTGGCTTTGCTCACAGTTTATGTTTGGCTGGTTTTGTAGACGAACAGCAGCTCAGGGAGACAGCAGGAGCTATGGGGACCCTATTTTCCAAGCCAAAAATTATGATATGTTGTCTAGTAATAAGACAGAATATTCATTTGTTTGTCTGTTTGTATACATACCTCTTTGTTTCACAAAAGGATTTAAGGCAGCTTACAAAGATGCATACGATTCAGCAAGACGACATAAATTAGAAGCAGGTGAGAAAGAAAAAAAATGTAAAAGCAAGGGTAAAGCCATAAAAGGGAGCCAAGGATGGGACTAATACAAAATAAACATACCGTAAACTTTGATCCATTTGCGAGGGGTGGGCCACAAATTTGGTTTTAAAATTTCTAACAGCCAGTGCCAAGATGAAACATGATCAGCTGCCCCATTCCCAGGATCCTCAAGATTAAAGCAAACCACTTGCCCAGGAGAAACACAAGCATTCCTGATGTCCCCGAGAACAGAAAGAAATGGCTCCTTAATCCCTCCCAGAGACGACAGGGGCTAAGACAACTGTCGATGTGCTCAGAGGCATCTTTGCAGCGGACACAGTCATGAGCTTTGTTTCTTACAGTTCTCAGCCAGGCTTATGGAACTCTGACTAATGTGGAATGCAGTTATCTGGGGGGCTAGCAGTGTGGGGTTCAGTCAGCTACATGCATGCCCGAGCAAATGGTAGAGGGTGTAGTCTACAGATCCCCCCAGTGGTGCTTTCTGCGGAGAGCTTCTCTAGGCCAGGCTTCAGGCAGATGTTGGGAGACTGTGGCTTCTCATGACTGGCACATTGACTGAAGCCATTCTAGGTGAGAAAGCTTTGCGTGAGATCCAACAAGCAGCCAGGTATCAAACTGCAGAAAGGTTGGACATCTTGTCAGTTTTGAGTCTGAAATGTCGCTTCTTGGCTCACTCATGGCCAAAGAATGACCAGACCTACCAAAGTAAGGTAAGCATAAAAATGAGGTTTATTGAGGAGAGCTTGAAGATAGGATTATAGAGCAAGAGTGACATATAGGTTTACAGAGATGGTACATATGCCACAGATGACGACTGGACCCATTGTCACAGCAAAGGGAGAGCAAAAGGAAGGGCACAAAAAGGGACTTAGTTATGGTCTGCATCTTGTTTTATAGTGCCTGTATTGGGACCTCCCTAGTGGCTCAGACATCACCATGGAACACTTTGATTGGACAGTTGGGAGTTGCATCACTATGCATGCGGCTTGTTCTAGGTCAATTTCCAGACACCATAGTACCTATGCTGCTTGGCTCGTGGGCTAGAGAGTCCTCTGCATTCTTTTGCAGCTGGCGTGCTAAGTTGATTAACAGGTTCGTAGGGTATCCCCTCCTCCTCAGGTATGGCAGTCACTTGGGAGATTAGGGTGGAGCAGGACCAAGATGGGGGCCTTCTTCCTAGGTGGGAAGAATTGCACCAAAGCAACAGCACCCACTTTTGTCCCTAGTAGACCCAGAATCCCTCACTATCTACCTAACATTCTCGTGAAAAGCAAGGAGTCCTAACAAGGACTTGTCCTGTCTCCCAAGATGAACAAACAGAACCATGGTTCTTCCCAGAAAATAACGATGGATCCCATGGAATGTACTGCAAGTGACTTTAGCCTGAGAACATTCTAAAGCTGATCGAGCCAAACACCTACCTAATTTTTTCTAAGTGTCGGGAAAGTCTCCTTCCTGCTGTAGCTTCCAAGATAAACCATTTGTGAAACGCACGCCAAGTTAACTGAGAGTAGACCTGTGTGGGATGATAGTTAACTGTCGTTAAAAGCCGAAGGACAACTACCAAAAATAGTGGCTTTGCTGGTAGAGAACTTGATCTGAAGTCTTTCTTTCTGGCAATAACCAGATAGCAGGGCCAGCTGTGTCCTGGGACTGAATACTGAAATCACGCTTCCCCAGAAAATCCAGACTGCAGCCTGTGGGACACAGAGCAGAGCCGGTATGGCCCCTCCAGCGAGGCCGCTCCCTAGCCCTGTTCTCCACCCTTGATAAGGATCCCTGCTGCCTCCCTTCCTCCCCAGGGTGTTGAAAGTCTCCTAGATAACAAAGTGCCCCTCCTCTGAGATCCTGGGAAGGAAGGTGCTAGGCAAATAGAAAACATGGCACGAGGCAAAGAGCACCCAAAAGACTGGAACAGCAAGGCTGGCTCTGGGCCTGGCAGTCCCTCCACACCCTCTGAGCCCCGACTCATGCAATTAGGATCTCAGCTCCATGAGCAAGTCAAAGAAATGGGTTGGCAGCCTTTCTGAGCATCTTCCCTAAATTCTTCTTGATACAGATGAAAACATCCTGTCAAATCCATAAATGCTGAGCACATTCAACAACCAAAGTCCAGTGCATGGAAATCCCCAATAAGTCTTCTGCCTCCCTCCTGACCACCTCGCAGCTTCCTTGCTCTAGGAACCAGTTCACCACCTCCCGACTCCCTGCACTCCTCACACCTACTTCTTTTCCCACATCGGGCCCTGCAGCAGAATCGGCCCCGTAGAGACCTCAGTCCTACCCGTGTGGGTTCCAACCCCCAGCCCCCTTGGTCCTCCGAGCTTTGATCTGGCTGCCCTCTCTCCATGTCCTCACCCTCGCACTCGCTCTTGGGGTTAGTCATAATAACCCCTCATGCTAGCAGGGCAGGAGATCACCTTAGATCTGCCCCACAACCACAAGAAGGTGGGTGGTTGGAGGCTAATTATTAGCTCAATTTTACAAATAAAGAAACAGGCTCAGAACTGTCCCATGGTTTTCCCACAGTCAGACCACAGTGAGTGTCCAGGCAGGGAGCAGAACTCAAAACTCCAGGCTCCCAGCCTCAACTCACCACACCCATGCCTATTCCCCACACCAGCCACCCAGGACGAGTCAGCCTCGCCAACTGAGGGCAACCAGAGCGCACAGTGCGCAGGTGTGTGTGTGTGTGAGGGAGGGCGGGAGGCACAGGCAAGGGGGTAGAGGGGCTCTGGAACCCCACTACTTCCATATCTCCTGCTTCATGGTACCAGGGAATGACCCAGCCAGAGGGAACCCAAGAGTTTCCCCATTACAACCCTTTACTTTACAGGTTGGGAAACTGAGGCTCAGAGAGAGGGAGGGATCCTTGGTAGAATGCCCACTCCATGACTGGAGCCAGCACCAATACCTCTAGGTGAGAGCTGGGGGTCAGATTCTCACTTGGCCACACACACCTCCCCCCCACCACCTCCTGTACGTCTAAGCCGCCCTGGATGATGTCTTCTGGAAAGAGCATGCAATGGGGCACCAGCAGCCCTTCCTTCCAGCCCCAGTTTGGCAGCTGACCATGGGGTGGTCTTGGGCCTTTACCCTTCGAAAGCCTCTTCTCAGCCTTGCCCACGAAAGGGTTGACCTGATGGAGCTGCTCTGTCTTTCTAGCTTTGATGTTCATTCTAGGATTCCAGGACTTCCTTCAAGAAAGCAGCACTCTTCTTGGACAGGTCAGCTGTGGCCACGCGAGGTGGGAGACCACGGAAGGGCAGAACTGACAGGGTGAGTGTTGGATTGCAGCTGGAGGTAGAGGCAGAAAGGATCCCTTGAAGGAGGCAGGAGGAGGCAAGGCTCTGCCAAGGAGGAGGAGCAGGATGCCCCAGCCAGGGAGAGGACTGAGGGTGGCTGGAGGCCCACTAGGACCATGAGGCCCTGGAGTCCTAGAACATCCAGCACCTTCTTCCTCTAGCTGGAAAAGCCAAGGCTCACCTTTAACATGATTCCGCCTCAAATGGTTCTCGCCAGAAATTTTTACACACAGGGTCTCATCACCACTCCACGACTTACCTGTGTCACTGGGATTAATATTCCCATTTTGCAGACTAGAAAACTGAGGCCAGAGAGGTGAGGTCAGGGCAGAGCTACAGCAGAAGCAGGGATTGCAGGGTCTGGGCTGAGGCTTTCTCCTCTACATCAGCCTTGGCCGAGACACACCCCTCATGGCCATATCCCACGTCTCTGCATTGATGGATACACGTGCTTAGCTCATGACCAGAGGCTGGGGATCTAAGACTGCTCCCAGTCCAGGAATCAGAAGCGTCCTGCCCCAAACGTCAATATTTTGTGTTCCATACTTACCTGTACACTAATCTTTTTATTCATTTCACCCATCAGATAAACACTTACTGAGTTTCTTTGTTTGCCGGGCACTGTGCCACTCTCTAGTTTTACAACTTGTTTAGGGCACAGGCTTTAAAATGCTCTTGTATGTGATTGCTGCGGTGCACTTGGGCGTCGCTGGGTTGTCTGGGAAGACGTTCTCCACCTGGACCCCCAAGGCCCTCCCAAGAAGCCGTGTCCTGTGCCCGATCAGGGCGAGGGCTGGAGACTGTGGGAGTCGAGGAGGAGGAGGGAGGGAGAAAGAGCCTGAGAGAGCTGTAAAAGTGAGGAGGTAATCACCGGAGAAGTTCCTCTCCATCATTAAAGAGGATCTTAATTAAGGTCCCTGAAACAGATAGGCTAAACAAGCAGGAGCTGTGGGAACCAGACCTGGCGGGGTGGCTCAGCTGCCCAGAGGTGCTGGGTGTTAGCTGGCCAGCGCCTCATCTGTCATTAGGGAATGGGAAATCACCCCACATCAAAGCCAACCAGGAAAGAATGTGACAAATGCCATTCACCTTAAAAACAGTGATGAAAATAAATGCCAAAGTCTGCCAACCATTGTGTATGAAAGCTCCTCCGGCAGAAGGGTGATCCCAAGAAAGAGAGAGAGAGAGAGAGAGAGAGAGAGAGAGAGAGAGAGGCAGGCAAGGTGTGTCCAGCCAGGAAGCAAATGCGAGGTGTGCCTGGATCGGATGGGAGTCCTCCATAGACTGTGGCTGTCTGGACCCGAACTCACCTCTCCTGAACTTCGACCTTGGGTTTACCCACGCTGAGGCCCTGCCCTCTGTCCCACCACCCCGCACGGTGACCTAACGTGGTTGCTTCTTTCCGTTGGCCACCTAGAAGTCAGAGGACACCCCTGGCAGGGAGCCCTGCCACCCTTGAAGAGGGACACAGCCATTTCCTGTCTTGGACCCCACCCCCACTCCCAGTTTCCCTCTTCTAGGAGGGAGTTATTCTCTCTTTTTTATTTGTGAGATAGATAATCCCAGACAGAAAATAACCTCTGTAACAAACATAATCCAGAATGTGAAGGCATGGTGGCAGGGTGGCATTTCAAGATCAGTTTGTGGCTGACACTGGCAGGAATTTGCCAGTGATGACCTGGAAAACGGATACCTAGAGTCAGCAGATCAGTCTTTTGCCCTGACCATGAGCTGATACATCTATATAATAGGGGTGTGGGGGGACAGGGTGGCAGAACACTCTTTGTGCAAAGCCGTGTCTACATACTCACCTGGTTACTATAGGACAATTATTCATCAAGGTGCTTTTGGGAGCCTGCCTTAAGCAGAAAACAGAGAAACAGCAGCCCAGAGACCAAGAGACAAAAGCAAGAGCAAAGAGAGATGCAAAGAGAACCAGGCAGGCAGGTGCAACGCGTAGCTGCCAGTCTTTACTGAGACCTCTGCGTTTCCCAGATAGCTTTCTCTTGGCACTTGACCTCCAGATTCAACACCAAATCTGTCCCAGTCGCTGTCTCTGTCCTCTTCTGTCCCAGTCTAAACTTCAAATCCTGTGAGCATCCTGTGGCAAGTTCAAAGCAAGGTCCAAATATTTTTCCCAGCCCTCCAGAAGCAATCGTGGCTGAGCTCGACAGGGCAGCAAAGCAGATCTGTTTTGTGGCCCACGAAGAGACTTCAACACACTCTGTCACCTCACCCTGGCCAGATTTCAGCCATCACAGGAGAACACAGTGAGAGGCTAGGATGGGCCCTAACCAACCTTCTACCTACTTCATGTTCACTCGGAGAGCCAGAGGACTTCAGAGAGCCATGTAGACTGAAGGGGTCAGAGAAGCCTTCTTAGTGAAAGTGTCATCTGATCTGAGCCTTGAAGGGTGGATAGAAGTTGACATAGAGCAAAAAAGACACCCTCTGCAGTGGCACCTTCATGGGCCATGAATTGGCAGTGGGGGAACATAACTCCTTCAGCCATAAGTGACAGATAAAAGCCATGTTAGAGGAACAGCTGTGTGGCACTTGCAGTCAGAGGCTGCCTTGAGGTGGGGTTGGGGTAGTGATACAGTGAGGATTTGCTTGCAAAGCATTTATGATCACTCCATTTGGGTTTGGAGTGGCTACTCTTGTTCTAAGGTCTGGGTCCAAAGAACCAGGAGGACCTCAGGTATTGGGCTGGAAGGCTGGCATGCCCAGGGACTGCCCTCGCATCTCCCCATCTTTTGTGCTCTGGTCACTGGGATAGCTCATAGCCTGGGAAACCAGACCATCCTTCTCCTCTGCACTGAGCACAAGAGAGGCCTAGAGGTCTGATTTGGCTGCAGCATGCAGGCTAGAGGTCTGACCTAAGGGGGGACTTCTTGAAAGGGAAAGTTTGAAGTTCTTATAAGAGAATCCTTTGCCCTGAAGACTTTTCACAACATCCTTGTGTGCTAGCTGTTGTAACCCACTCCTCACCTGTGAATTGTAGACTCTTTGGTTCCAGGAAATAAGACTTGGGAAGGTCAGAGTGTCACCCTGTGCTACTTTCACAATAATAGAAATAACAATTACTACAACAGCATCTGACATTCTATTTTTCTGGGCACTGTGCAAAATGTTCTTCATGTATCAACTCATTTAATCTTTATACAATCCTATGAAATACTATTCTCCCCATTCTATAACTGAAGAAACTAAAAAGCAAAGGCAAATAATTTTCCCCAAAGTCACAATAGCAAGTGGTAGGGTTGAAATTTGAACCCATGTTCCTAAGCTCTCTACAGACTTGACCATCTTTGGAAATCCTCCACTTTGGTCTCAGCCAAATTTCCCAGGAACCCTTTATATGCCCAGGTCTGTGCAGTCAGATGGAACAGAACTTAACATGAAAAAAATCAAAGTCTATAGCAATTTCATGGACATCTGAGGTGCTACAAGGCATCTATGTATGTGATGAAGTTTGGTATGGAATAAAATAAAGGGGCCAGGTTTCCAAGTTCTAAATGTGAGCCCAGCGTTTGACAAAGTGTTGAGCATTGACCACCAAGATTTGCAGGAAAGCCACTAGGTTCACATGGAAGAGCACGGCTGCTCAGCCAGGGCAGTGATCCTGGGACTGCAGACCCCCGAGGTGCCCTTGTGGCAGGAGGAGGAGGGGAACCCAGCCAGACCTGAGGGCTGGGAAGATGCTAGATGTAGGCCAGGCAGCTTCGAACAGGGGCAGCGGCTGCGGCAAAGTGCAGATGAACACTGTTGTCCTACAAGCCTGGTGACCTGGAATGTGGCCACCTCCTCTGCAGGAGAATGAGCCAGGCAAGGGGAATACCACAGTGCTGTGGCCTCAGGTTGGCACCACAGCCCGTGTTCTTGTGATTGCACCATCTTAGACCAACCTAAAAGAAAGCAAATAGGTAAGGAACAAGGAGTCTTCAACCTGTGAGTGATCTGGACAGCATCTGCAGGGCCCGTTGCTGGCACTCCAATTGCCAGCCTACCCTTTGGCTACTGGCCTTGTGAGATAAATCAGAGTTGTGTTAATGCTTCAACCCTCGAGACACAACTGTCAACTTCTCAAGTGTAAGCGCACGCGAAGAGAAGAGTGAAATAAATCACCCATGCATTTGGTGGCCACTCACGCGGCAAATACAGCATGAACTACGCTGCAGAATGCAAGTTTGTGTTCAGGACGGCAGGGGAAACCGGGCCAAGGCATTGGGACAGGCTTCCTGGCAGAGGATCCCACAACCTACTTGACAAGTGGAAATTCCACTCCCATCCCGGGAGGATGGCGCACACAGGCATAATTAGCTCACCTTGTTTTAACACTCTTGAAGTTTCCCCAGCTCAGAAATCACAGCTGGGCAGATCCCCAGCTGGGTGAATACAGGCAAGAGGGTGCTCATGGTGGGTGGAGGCCCTGTCCTTTCTCCGGTGGAGAAAGCCCTTTATGACTTCACGGGATGAAAGGAGCCAACCCAGGCCCGCTGAGCTGTTATTATAACAATTATCAAGACCTATCACCTCCCTTTGGGAAATGTTCCCTTTCAAGTTGCAGCGCTCTGGTGTACCCTGGCTCACAGTTACTCACAATCATTACTGGGTGCCCAGGGCAAATTATTAATGTGTTTTTCCCCAACGTGGAAGGATGTGACCCTATTTAAAGGGCTGTAGCTTTGCGAGGGGCTCACGAAAGCCACTGCAAGGTGCTGGGGAGGGAGCGTGTGTGCATGGGTGTGCAGGCGCTCGGATTGCCCGTCCCACCGCAGCAGCCCCCAGCTCGCCCCCGTGATCAAACACGCCAGCCTCGTCGCTGGGTGGCTTTGATCCTGCTCAGCCTCCCTGTTCATGAGCTCCAGGAGGTGTGGAAGGGAGGAGGACAAGGGGAATGTTTTCCCAATTTTTTTCCCCTGCTGAGTGACTCAACCCTACCACGCCCAAGCAGCAGGAGCCCCCAGACATTTGGGTTTGAGGCTCCAGGGCAGGCACAGACCCTATTTCCTTCTAGAAGTTGACTCAAGACTGGAGTTCTCCCACCTGGGTATTTATTTATTTATTTGTTTGCTTATGTGTTTATTTATTTATTTTTCTGTGGCTTCAAGGCTGCTTGGAGAAGGAGGCTCCCTCCCCGGACTCTGCCACAGCTTAACTGTCCTCACCGCCAGTGGGAAATAAACAGTGACAATGGATTCTTGAGGAAATAAGGTCAAACCTGCAGGAACTTTAAAGACATCTAGTACATCTATATGTTCTGTTCATCTTACAGAAACAGACACTAAGGTTCAGAGAGGCAGATGTCTTGCCCAAGGACACACAGCCGTGAGCAGCAGCAACGGAGTGGAACGCAACGTTTCCATTCTGGGATACCAAAAGGCAGTAAGATTCCTGGGCAATTGCTTATGAGGCTGTTCATGCTTCACTTTAAAATGTTTTTGAGAAATGGACCGCTTTCTAGAAATGTCCTTTTTTTAAAGTGTACTGAATCCATTGGGACTTAGTTATTTAAGCCTCAGACTAGCACTATGAGATTAGCATTAAATATGAAAATTACCCCTGTTTTGAAGATGAGAGAACCAAGCCCTAGAGAGCCACGTGTTCGGGTTTACACTGCTAGAAAGGGACAGAGCTCCAGGCCTGCCCTTGACACTGAACTGCAATTCTTCCTTTACCAGCAGCAGACAACTGTTTTGAGAAGCCTTAACCGCTCCCTGTGGTGGGGACTGGATTCCTGCCTCAATCGGGGAGCCCTCCAGGGCGCTGCTCTGCTGGACGTGAGCTCTGGGGGATGGGAGAGGCTGGCTGGGGCTCTTGACCCTCCCAGAGCCGGGCAAGGCATTCGTACGTAGTGACACCCCATGGGTGCCCACGGAGCAGAGCTGGTGGGACAGACGGGGCAAGCAAAAGCAGAGCCTTTCTTTATTGTCACACTCATTTCTTACCCCCAGTTGTCAGCTCTACCTCACCTCATACACCATCTAGATCACAATAACTTGGGGCTTTTTAAAAAAAGATCAATTTTGTCCCCAAATAAGCACAGAACAGGAGATTTATTTTAGGAACACACCCCAAAGAAAGTACTGCAGGCTCTCTTGGGTATCTGAGCAACATTTGTGTCTTCTGGTGGACTCACCCGCCTTCTCTGGATGGTCAAGACCAGCAGCTGCTGACCTGCCTGGTCTAGGAAGTCTAGAAGCTTCTGTCTCCTGCAGGTGTAGTGGGTGTCCCTGTCTCATTCTGAGAGTGGAGGTGCAGTGGGGGTTCAGGGTCCAGGACAGGGGCGAAGGCAGAGGAGGGAAGGGCTTGGAGCTGGAAGACAGGAGGGGTGGGTAGGAGACAGAGGCACAGGAAGAGAGGGAGGAACAGGAAGAAAGGCCAGGGAAACAATAGTGGATGCAGAGGACCACAAGGTCCCCAGGAAGGGACAGTGTTGTACAGGGGGGCTGCACATTTCCCCAACAGGTGCAATGATGGTCAATGCACCTTTGTGAGGTGGATGGGGCAGGATTCTTCCACCCATTCTACAAATGGGGAGATTAAGGCCCTGAGAGGCACCTCTCCCTGCCTGTCAGCAGCCAAGTGCTTAGTACAGGGCATGGGCACACAGTCAGTGCTCAATAGACATCAACTGAGCCTGTTACTGCAAAGCCCGGGCTCTCTGCTTGCTTGAACCCCTCCAGGGTGTGCTGTCTCCACACTTCCCTGGGCCCAGCCCCTGGCTCTGTTGCAGGGGAGTGGGCATCGGCTGGAGAGGTAGGGGGCAGACGGTGGGCCCTCAGCAGAGCCTGCCCGTGGGCTCTCGGTCCAGGCTTCAGGGGTCCGTGTGAACTTGGGTAAGCTACTTAATTTCTCTCAGTCTCGGTTTCATCATCTGTAAAATGGAAATGCTGATACAGTCCTGGAAGGATTACAGAGAGGAGCACAGTGCCAGCACCTGGTTCCTTCCCCTTCCCTGCAGGTGGCCCTTTCCACGGGCAGCTTGTAGTGCCATCTACGCACAAGGACATGGGCCACCTGGGACACCAGAGGCGGTGCAAAACATGGGAGGCAGCAAAGGACCACCAGGCCTGTCTTGCTCCCCACTGTCCCCCGACACCCAGTGCGGGGCCTGGGCTGAGGAGGTCAACACAGAGACAGCCCTGTGGGCTGGGATGGATGAGGAGGAGTTTAAGCACAGGCTTCCCTCAACATGCAAGTTGTGAAATGTCAACATAATTATGAAAATGCAAACACAGGAACATTTGCTTATGGGAACTAATGGTTTTTAATGAAGGTAATCAGCTTAGTTAAATCAAATTATTAACTTTGACAATAGATGTGTAAACAGGCACTTAATGAATTTGTTGATGGCTCTTACCTGCTAAAAAGACGTTACAGTAGTTGTCCAGGATGCACACATCTGGGCTCTCCTTCCCTGGTTGGGCAACACGCCCCCTCCACCACCACATACAGGCAGACACGCAGACGCAGACAGACACACTGAGAGCGCCTCGAGGCAGAGACTGCATCTCTCCCATCGACTCAGGGGATCCCACACGGTGGGGCCCCTCTTCCTTTGGGTCCCAGCACTTCTGCATATGTGATCTTCTTTAATCCAACACGGACTCTTCATCCTGTCCTTCCCATCTTACAGTTCAGGAAAGCAAGGCATAGTGGGGGCGGTGGGCTGGGCTGGGGGTGCCACACAGCTGGTGGCAGGGGTCCAGCCACCATGGTTTGATGGCATCATCCCTAGTCTGCTGTTACCATGGGAGTGTCCTGGGGCCAGGAGGGGGTCCTCGTCAGCTGGTGGGAGCAAGAAGGAATCTCCCAGAATGAAGAGACGGGAGCCCACTGGAGCAGAAGAGGGTGCTGGCAGAGGGAGTCAGAAATGGGGGACCGGAATTCAGGGATTGTCACCGGGATTCTTTGTGAGCCAGAAGATGGAAACTGGGCCTCCCTTCTCAGACACTCTAGAAGCAATTAGATCCCAGAGCTCCTCCTTAGGGATGTGTCAGAGGAAGAATCCCAGGGGCTGGCTCAAGAGGGGGTGCAGGGAAGCCCCCTTTCCCTGAACCACACGCACTCACACAGCCTCCCCAGTATCAGCGGGCAGGTGTCTCTCGCAGTGCTGGGGGCAGGGTGCTCGCCCTACAGTTCTATAAATAATGTAATGAGCCCAGTGGGGGCTGAGGCAAGCAGCAGGCAGACACTCCCAAGAGACAGCTCACCACACCGCCCTGAGAGATACCATCAGGCAGTTACACCGCAAACACAGCCACTCGCTGCCGGGGCAGCAGCAGAGACAGAGACGCTGCCGTCTCTCACCTGGGGCTCGCAGATGGGGAACATTAGTCAGAAAGATGGAGGGGGGGAGCATGCTGAAACCACCTCGGGCCCTGGCCAGGCTCTCCTGGTAAACAGGCCAGCCCCAGAGACTCCACAGGCTCCCTCCTGATCTGGAGCTGGGGAGAGACAGAGGGTGAGGCTGCAGCCCCAGGCTGATGGGGCAGACACAGCCCCTGCCATCTGACCCCCGGGCTATTGGCAAAGGCAGTCCTGCACCACCCAGCAGCCTTGAAGAGCCTGGTCTTCTGTAGGGGAGTCACACTTCCTGCACTCTGACTCCTGCGCCTGCAATTAGTTAAACAGGCAAAATATTCCCTGCCAGGATGCCTGAGACTGAGAGCCATTATGAAGAGACTTAAACCAAAGGCCGAGAGGTGTGGTGGAGGTTGGGGGCAACAGAGTAGGGAGCATAAGAGAGGCTCCTGGCCCATTGTCCACCACCGGAAGTTAAGGGCAGTGGAGATAGCTCCAAGCTGGGGACAGCAGTGCCGTGTCCATGTGTCTTGTCAACCCAGCAGATGGAGGTGCCCGGACACTCTATGTCCACATCTCCCCAAGGAGTCCTCATCAGGAACTGAATCTGTCGCAGAGAACTTGTCCATGACCTCAGGGTGCCTGGCCAGGTGTGGTGGAGCTATTTGGTAACTCCAGAACTCCTTCCCAGAAGGAACAGGTCTCTTCTCAAGTTGAACCTGGTGATTTAGAAACAGGAAACTGAAAAATTAGCCTGCCACTGGACCCAGCCCTAGGACAGGGGTTGCCAATGGGACAGAAGAGTCAGTCAGGAAGGTAGAGGGAGGCCTCCTTTCCAGCCCCTGGCCCAGCTGTGAATGTTCCCGCCCTCTCCAGAACTCTCATCGCACATTGTACATTCCTGTCCTAGCACGCTGTGTAGTAATTAAATACGTACCTCCTTCGCTAGATAATGAGCTACTTCAGTGCAGGGATGGTGTGCCCGACTCAGAGTGGGTGCTCGCTGTTTCTTGTGGTGACTGGTGGGTGAATGAATAAGAGGATGGATGGAGGGAGGGATGGGTGCATGGAGGGATGGTTGGCATATGGACGGATAGGTGAATC